CTGTCAAATAACCAATGTTTTCCTTCAGTAGTCCAGCAATTCAGTTGCATAGCCATGCCTATTTTAGCAGAACAAGTTGTTTTAAAATTCAGATATAGTGTATGTGGATTTTACTTAGAGGCTAGAGCGGTGATGGCGAACCGAGTGCCAAAAAGGTTGCGTGGAAATGTCATTCATGCACATGCGCACACATGCTCATTGGGGCCGTGCTCCGGAAAAGCTGAACTTCTGGGTACTAACGTGCATGCGTACGCAATGATCCACTGGCCAGCCCCGTATGCATGCCGGTTTTCGGCACTGTCGCACTCACGAAGGGATCGCATACCGGGAAAATCAAATTTCCAGGTTCTGGCACGCATGCGCATCTGACAATCAGCTGGCTTGCATACATGCACACGCCAGTTTTTGGCACTGCTCCGCCTGCGAAGGACATCTGACCACATGCCAGAAGAAAAACAGGCAAGGCCGTGCATGCTGGGCGACATGGCTTCACATGCAACTTTGGCCACACATGCCATAGGTTCACCATCACAGGGCCATAGCATGTTGTTTTCCAGTTGTGTCAGAGATATTTGCAACTTCTACTCAAGATGTAAGGTCAAAGGAACAGTTGGATCTTCCTCATTCTACCATTACTAGAATATGACATTTCTCAAACCAGCCTTTCCCAATCAGATATTCTCCAAACTGTTGGCTGGTTTGGCATTCTGATTGGTAATTCTGGATTACAACACTTCTAGCTGGCACCGAGATGAGGAAGGGCACTCCCTGCTCTGATAAACTGCAGTATCTGTATAAGTTTCCTGATTGCTTTATATACTATAATACCCTCTAATCAGAGCTGCTTGTTTGTCCCATGGGGTTCCCTATGTTCTAGTTTATATTTGATTCAGTTCAACCTTGGACTCCAGCCCGCCTGCAGGTCATTTAACTTTAATAATTGTTAACACTTTAGAAGAGGGGGGAAAATCATATTGATTCAACCAAAATGTGCCCTCTGGTTTGCATCCAGCAATATATAACAGGTTTATGATAGGCATTGTGCTGCATTAGAGTATAGCTTCCACTATCCATTAAACTGGAACGTTAAGGGATACATGTTGCAAACATTTAACTGAAAGCGCTCTTACCAGCTTTCTTTTTATTTCACTCCAAAAAGAATTGGAATGAGTAAGAAGCCAACCCCTAAATAATTATCAACGAGCAGTACCACTAGGAATCTAGCTAGCAGAAATACCTAATCTTCAAAGATCCTAGAAACTCTATTTGCCAGAACTGTTGTCACAATTAGAAGAAAGCTAGTAGATTTTTTTAAAACAGAATCAACAGCAAGCACTGATTTTTCTGTCTTGTGATCAAGCAAATGATCTGTAATGATCCTTTGGGGTTAGATCAGACAATGGTAGAGATGACATAGAACTAAATGCACACAGGAGATTAGATGTTGTTTCCCAGTGTATGTCATGACATTTGCTTATGCAACAACCAGCGTTTGTCTAAATCCAGAGCCAAAGAAACAGTGGCCTCCAGAAGGATGAGAACACATACAAGCTCCCATTGCTTTTTGATCCAAGTTGCTTTTTCCTAGGGAGTTTCTGCTGTGAAGAGAAAAATGCTCACAAGTTTCCTTCAACAGCCAGTTTACAAGAGAGCTCAGCCCAATACCACTTGAGTCCAGGGGTGGGCTGCTTGGGGTTTGCACGGGTTCGGGCGATCCTCTAGCTAGGATTCTGCCAAGTTCAGTGAACCCCCCAAATGCCACCATGGCTGGCCCCTCCCACCCCACCCTGCCCCTCCCACCCCACCCCTCCCAGGAGTCTCCACCCAGTACATTCATCATGCAGGGCCCGTGCGGAGGCTCAGGGAGGGGGGGAAACGGGCCTACTACTGGAGATTCCAGAAGTCCAGAAACGGGTCTGTTTCCAACCTCTGAGGGCTTCCGGAGCCCAGGGGAAGCAGTTTTCGCCCTCCCAGAGGCTTGAGGAAAGCCTCTGGAGCCTGGGGAAGGCGAAAAACACCTATCCACCCTCCCCCAAGGTGCAGGAAGCCGACTACGCCATGCCCACCCAGCAATGGGGCAGCGAACCCGTTGCTTCAATTTTTGAAGCCCACCCCTGTTCACAGTCATTCTGACTTGAAGAACCTGGAATCGCTTGAGAACTGGATATAATTCTATGATAACACATAATGAAAGTAGAGTTTTTGTTTTAGTAATGGCATGATTGTGAAGGAGGAATTTCTTCCAGACGACATTCCAAATAGTGAAGGACAAAGATCTGATCTTTTCCATCTCCTGTGGGTACACGTGGAAGAGTGGTACCTTTATACTTTTGGAAATATATGTGTATAATGATCAGTGTAGCTGCTGGGGAAGCCGAAGGGGACAACTGATATATTCAAGAGAATACATAGGAAATTGGCCTAGAATTCATACATAATACTTTCGGGCATTTCCCAGAGGAGTTGCATCAGTAAACTGATGAGAGGTGAAGGGATGTTTGTGTGAGCTAACAAAGGTGTGGAGTTCTATTCTCTTCTGTATCCATCTTTTGGGGCATGATTCCAGGGCCTGCTAACATATTTTGTAATATCTTGGACTTGTGACTGAACGTGATGAAGCTGTCTTCCATTTCCTTGGTGATAAAATGATGCAAATTTAGTTGCTGCTCTCTTGTAAAATATTTCAAGTGTATATCTTGACTGCTTTTTAGTACTGATGTCCTCTGTCAGGGAAGAGTGACGTGTGATCTCTTTAAAATGTGCAGGAGAGGTTGAATAGAACAATGATTGTCAGTGGGGTTGGTATTTCCTGTTCATCTTGCCAGTCTGTGCTCAAAATTCATCTCTCTCCCCAATTGTCCAGCTGCCAGCCCCTCTCAGCTGCGGCTTTCCAGGATTTTCTCTCCCCCAAGTACTGTTAACTGGCATCTTTTGGGGAGTGGAAGATTCCTTTAAAAGAGGGGGAAAACCAGGCTGGCAGCGACAAGTACCAAATGTCTCTCTTCTACGCATTGCTTAAATCCCGTCCCCAGCTGATTAATCATACAGTCAGGCTGCTTTGAGCTTATCACTTTCCTTAATAGCTGAATAATTTAAAGCTTCTGTTTGTCAGCGTCTTAATTGCTTTTGCATTAGACACAAAAGCCACCAGGAATGCAGAATGGGAATAACCCCGGTAGAGTCCCTTTATTTCTCTCATTTGGCATCTCTTTTGAACTGCCTTATGGGGGGAGTGGGATCAACCTGGCTGCCGACAGAATATTTCCCATCTGTATGGGAAACCGAGGGGACAAATGTCTGTCATGGTACATGGATTCTTATTCTTGGGAAGGCTTCAAGATGGCCATAAAATTGTCATGCAGTCAAAGATGTCTGACTGTAATGGGGAGTGCTGGGCAAGGACTGGGAACTAGAAACAGTTTGACTTGAAAGGGGTAAGACTTTCTAGATTTATCCCTAGTGAATGTGGGGAAAGGAGAATTTATAGAGTTCTTCACTTGTTTTGGATTCTAGCTTCCATCAGCCTCCGTCAGCATGATGAGTAATACTTGCTTACTTATCTCTGAACCATGAGTTTTGCTGAGGTATGGAGTAGTCAGGATCACCAGGATTAAAAAGGGATACCGACACATTTTTAAACAATGCTCCAAGTCTTCAAAATGCAGACAAAAATATCCTTTCCCTTAGCCACCCTATGGATGTTGTTGCAAAGTATTGCAAACTATCTTACTAAGCCTTAAAGTTGCACTACCAAATATTGATGGTGAGACCAGCAAGGAGGAGGAGGCACACATAGACTTCAATATTACAATGCCATTGCCTTCTCAGATTGGATGCTATCAATATACAGTACATGGAGATGGTGTGGATTGAGTTACCAGCTAGCACTTCCCCATCCTCTTCCAGGTCTCAGATGAGCATTGCGCAACCCTAAAAATTGTTACATCTGGTGGTAGGGCTCGATTCAAATTTTAATAATTCATAGGTACTTTGTAGTTAATCTCTTTTATTAATCTCTCTGTGTATTATATGATCATATGTTATAATCATATTATATTACATTATACAAGACACATCCCAAATTATACTAGGCCGGAGAACTACAGTAATCCCTTAGGGTATACATTATCAAATGGATTTATATTTTATGGTTATTTCTTTTTGGAACCAACAAGCAAAAGATCTCTGTTTCAACTTATTCTAGTCTAACACATGGTTATTCTAATCCTCTCACATGGTTCTGCGTATAATGTTTGGCTACATAGTTATTAAATCTAATGTGTTAAATCATTTATACCACACATGTCTCTTTGGACTTCATCTCAGACATAGTCAATTGATTATCACTGCTCTTAATACATACCGGCTGATGTTTGATTACATAAAACCATTTATGCATGGTATTTTCATGAAATCATTAGCTTGATAATACCGCTGATAGTGTCCTTCATGGCTGGCCTTCTGATGGCAGGCAAAAGTGTTTTACCTCCATACAGGTGTTTAGCTTACTGATTTGATTTGGGGTTTTGGGGGGGGGGGGCTTTTCTGAATTTTAAAGTCTGTTTTGATTTAATGACGTTTTAAGGGACTTTCTTGTGGGGCACACTCTTATTTGGATTTCAGTTGGTTTAGGTTCTTTTTTTTACTATTATTAGGCACTTCCTATTCCATCTCTGATAGAAATGTGGTCTGTAAATAAGCAATATAAACAAGAGGTCAAGGAATGGTCCCACTGAAGAGAAATAGCCTGCATGCAACTATGTTGTTGTGACAAATTGATGATAATCAGCTCCACAGGAGATGCTGGGCATTGCCAGGAACAATCTTTCAGCTGATGTCACTCTTCACAGCTCTCCTAATGGAGTGAATATATCCTGCTAATGGAGGGCATATATCCTTTCACAAAAGCAACTCGCATTCTTCCCTTGCCAGAGAACAATCACATTTGTCAAAGAGATCTCTAGACCTTAAGCACACTAAACTTGTCCTCTCTTTTGCAGCCACTGTAATCCTCAACGAACTGAATTGGACAGAAGCCTTAGAGGATGTGTTTGTGGAAAACCGAAAAGAAGACCCGTCTCTGCTGTGGCAAGTCTTCGGCAGCGCTACAGGGGTAACCCGCTTCTATCCAGGTTGGTACTCAACTAACAGAGTGAAATTATAATTTGAACATTGGAATTTAAGTAGTTGAGTTTTGAGCTCAGAGGTTACAGTGGGAGTAGCAGCACAGTCATGGCTTTCACGTTAGAAGAAGTACAGTGCATTACTTTCCTAGTCATCCTTGGCCATTATTCTAGGACAGTAAGGGCAAACCTTTTCAGCACCGAGTGCCAAAAAGGTTGCGCGGAAATAGTGCATGTGCTTGTCGGGGCTGAATTCCAGAAATACTGGCAATCAGCTCGCCAGCGCACATGCACAGGCCGGTTTTCAGCACTGCCACGTGCGTGAAGGGATCACACTCTGGAAAAGCCATATGTCTGGCATGTATGTGCACCCAATTATCAGCTGGCCAGCGTGCATACACACACTGGTTTTCAGCACTGCCATGTGTGTGAAGGACATCTGATTATCATGTGCGCATGCACACCAGAAACCTGGAAAACAAACAGGTAAGGCCGCACGTGCTGGGCAACATGGCTTCGTGTGCCACTTTGAGCACGTGTGCCATAAGTTCACCATTACGGTTCTAGGATGTTAGGAAGGATCATTAGGTGTCAAGGTTTGGCCAGATACCAGCTCCACTAAGTAAATCACAAAATCAACCCCACAGGAAGGTTAAATGTATTTTTATTGAGATTGGCTACAGTATCAAAATCTTTCAAGTATGATTGTACTCATCTTTTCCTTTTTCTTATACTTCAGTGAATTAGAGAGGCATCTGCCTGAGCCATTTCCTAATGTTATCTCATTAAAAAAAATGCTTCATCCCCTTTTGTCTAGCTAACAGTTCCTGCATATTTCCATCAAGGTCATGCTGGCCACAAAAATTTGGATTGCAAACCTATGTGAAGTTCTGAGGCTGTTGACTGTTTTCCCAGATCTACTGGCTTTGATACAGTCATACTTTCTCTGCCTGAAAATGCAGTTCCTAATTCTTGAGAGATATTATATATACTGTATGTATGTATGCATGCATGCATGCATGCATGTGTGCATGTATGCATGTATGCATGTATGCATGTATGCATGTATGCATGTATGCATGTATGCATGTATGCATGTATGTATGTCAACAAACGAATCTTCAAAGAATACCGAGGCAGGAATAGAAAGTCAAAAGTCCTGAGGTCCAAACTACTGGTTAAATGGGAAGCCAAGTTTGGTGTAGCAAACTTGTAGAGCCAAAGTGGCGCAGTGGTTAAATGCAGCACTGCAGGCTATTTCAGCTGACTGCAGTTCTGCAGTTCGGCTGTTCAAATCTCACCGGCTCAGGGTTGACTCAGCCTTCCATCCTTCCGAGGTGGGTAAAATGAGGACCCGGATTGTTGTTGGGGGCAATATACTGACTCTGTAAACTGCTTAGAGAGGGCTGAAAGCCCTATGAAGCGATATATAAGTCTAACTGCTATTGCTATTGCTATGTAAATTTATGACCTCCGTTACTGTATACACTTTGTAATTATTTATCAAAATAGCAAAATGTGTATTCTCAAAGGAGGGAGAAGAAAAACAGATGTGTGGCTGAAATGTTAACTTCTTTCTAATTCACATGTTCCAAAACAAAGAACAGTGTTTGAAGTGTGCCAAAAAAAAACCCACCTTCAAACACTTGGTGTTCTTGTTGCTTAATACCACTCTTGGCAGGGAAATCTTTCCATGTCAGCTTTGCTCGCTGTCTCCCTTTCTCGCCTCAAGTTCCCTCATATCAACACATTTGGTAGTTCAAAAATCACTATAGTTTTCACTGCTTCTTCTCGTTGCAGCCTCCCCATGGAGAGCCCCCAATAAGATTGACCTGTATGATGTCCGAAGAAGGCCTTGGTAAGTAGGGTGCATGCTATGCTGCATATTTGAGAAAGAATAAAACAATTTGAGCCTTGGTGGTGCAGTGGTTAGAATGCAGTAATGCAGGCTATTTCTGCTGCCTGTCAGATGCCTGCAATTTGGCAGTTCAAATCCCACCAGGCTCAAGGTTGACTCAGCCTTCCATCCTTCTGAGATGGGTAAAATGAGGACCCAGATTGTTGGGAGCAATAGGCTGACTCTGTAAACCGGTGACAGTGGGCTGTAAAGCACTCTAAAGCAGTATATAAGTCTAAGTGCTATTGCTGTTGCTATTGCTATTAGCAATAAAATTCAGAGCAATGGGCCAGCTCAAAATTTTAGTATTTATTATCACTATACTTTAATCTCTGTCATCTACTTTCTCCGGCATTCTTTAGGTGGAGCTGAGAAATGCCTAGATTTCACACTAACTTTTTCCCCCCAAATACTTAAGTCAAGCAATATACAGTCTATCGAGATGAGCAACAGCTGCCCCCCTAATGGTAGTAATATAACATAGTTGAAAGCCTATCCATACTCAGGGCACACGGACTGTCTATGTGATTTGCTATTCTATTTTCCCTCTTCAATCAGCAAATCAGGAGGTCTGCTGAGATACTGGAGATAGGTTTAAAAGGGAGATAACAGAAAGAGGAAAGGTCTCTAAATGGAGCTCATGTATTGCAGAAGAATTAGATTACATCAAGTAGATATTAGCAAAAGCTGTAGATGACCCAAACCAGAAGAAGTCCCAGGAGCAAGGCTACTGTGGTGGTTTAATATATTATTTCTCATTATAGCCCTGACTTAGATTGTGAGGAGGACTGCTTGAGGATTTTATTTCCAGAAATGATTCAAATGTTTGTTTGTTGTTAATGAAGCACTTTTTGGCCAGTTTAAATTATAGGCATGAAAATAAAACTATCCACGCAAATAAAACTATCCACGCAAATTAAGATCTTGAATTATATTAGGTCAACATGCTTAGTTCAGATTTTTTTTAAAAAAATGCTGTAGCTCTTCTATACTTTTGAAGTAATGTAGAGTTCCTCTTTGTGGCAATTTCCTTTAAGCACAGCAATTGTGTTGGAATTAAAAGTAATAGATTGAGGAAGATAGGTTGCATTTTTCCAGCAACATTATACGTACAGTACTGAAGTTTGATTACTGGAAAGATGGAATATTTACTTCATAATAAAATACTGCTTGTGGATCTGGATCCTCTATCTCAAATGAATAATAGACATGCATTCATTTGCCCGGCAACAAAACTATTGTCTCAATGGATGTTTAAAACAATATGTCAAACAATAATATCCATGGGAGGGAGATTAAAAAAGGCATGATGGAAGATGCAGTTTTGCAATACAAGTCCCAGTTCTTTTGCATGTTCTTTGCCTTTGCATCCCATCTATCTTCTTTTGACATCTTTCTATGAATACCAAAGTTCCAAAGAAAATTACTGAACAAGATCTCGGCGAAAAATTCTCATGTTGCTTTGTCTTTGAATTGTGGAGATAGTATCTCCATCATTTCACTTTTTATGTTTCTGAATATAAGACTAGAATTTTGGTTCAAGTTGGTCTCCTGTCAGTTTCACTCACTTTTTTTATACAGTACCTAAGCATAGTTGTAAATAAACCCTGTGATATCATTGGGAGTCCTTGGCCATTTTTGGATGTTACATTTAATCAGAAATCCTAACCTAATATGCCACAATGTCATCAAGTACTATGGTAGTAAATCCAGCTCCATCTCTCCTTTAAAACCAGGTGAGCAAAGCAAGTAGACATACCTCCACATTGTCTCCAAAATCAAGTTTAAGTATGTCTAAAACTCCATGATGGTAAAACAGCTTTAAAGTTGCTATATATCCTAGGTTTTCTCACTTTCCTTAACTTACCAATATTGGACATCACATGAACTTTCCTGGTTTGATTCCAGTTTTCTCATGTAAAGGGGAAAAAAATGAAATGAGGATATTGTAATTTCTTAAATGACCATTTCTGATTTTACAGACTGCTAAAAGAATATTTAATCATACTTTGTAAAATCATTATCAGGAGCAACCAAAAGATTCTGGTCAGAATTTTTTTTTCCATTTCATTCCTTTCATGGTTTTGGTAAGAGAGAAGAGAAAAAGTGGAAAGAGCACTTAGAATACTGCATCCAGTTTTGGTCACCATATTATAAAAAAGATGTAGAGACTCTGAAAAGAGTGCAGAAAAGAGCAACAAATATGATTAGGGAGCTGGAGGTTAAAACATACAAAAACCGGTTGCAGGAATTGGCCCAAAGATGCTCCTTCAAGAGGCTTCTTTTTCTTTAAAGAAGTTTTGCTTCTCTTCCAAGAAGGTTCTTCACCTTTGGGACAACCATGACCTGGATGACTGAGAATCTCCATAGACTTGGAGGAATTGGATTTGTCTAGTCTAGTGAAAAGAAGGACTAGGGATGACATAATAACAGTGGTCCAATATTTGAGAGGCTGCCACAAAGAAGAGGGGATCAACCTATTTTCCAAAGCACCAGAAGGCAAGGCAAGAAACAGTGAATTGAAACTAATCAAGGAGAGAAGCAACCTAGAACTAAAGAGAAATTTCCTAACAATTAGAACAATTAACCAGTGGAACAGCTTGCCTTCAGAAGTTGTGGCTGCTCCATCACTGGAAGCTTTTAAGTAGAGGATGCACAGCCACTTGTCTGGAATGATATAGGACTCCTGCTTGTGCAGAGGGTTGGACTAGAAGACCTCCAAAGTCACTTCCAACTCTGTTATTCTGTTATTTATTCTGTTGTTGTATTATAACCTATTTCTAAAGAACATTATTGCAACAACACACGGCACATATGCGCAAACACACACACACACACACACACACACACACACACACACACACACACCATGTTCTACCCCAGTCTTTATAGAAAGAAAAAGCCTTGTGGCTGTAAAAATGGCAGGGAATAGATCACACATGAGAGAAAATCTGTGTCACTCAGGAGAGCATTTCCTATAAGGAGATGCTTATAAAATGGCCGCCAGAATGTAGCAAAAGGAATTAGAGAAGGGAGGGAATCCACAACCCTTCTGGGTTTCTCTTCAACTTTTCTGCTTCTGTAAATGCTCTCAAATATCTTGAGCTAGCAGAGCATTTGGAGTAATGAAATGTAAATGAGCCCGGTACTTCCACTCCAAGGGTCTATTAAACTGAAGTAGGGCTTACTCAGGCCATGGGTGCGTGCAGCCATCCAGAAGACTCTTCCCCCACCCCCCACCCCCTCCTCCTGACATCTCTCTGTCTCTCTGCTCCCTCCTTCCCTCCACTAGTCTGTATGAAATTCCAGGTCTGTGAGCAGCCAGCTCTGTCCAATTTTCATTTCACACATCGTTGCCATTGGAAAATGGATACAATAACACAGACAGGGGTATCTGAGCTGCAGCTTTCATCTGCTTCGACTTCTTCCCCTCCCTCCCCGTTGTGTCTCAGGAGAAAAGAAGGATCCCAGGCAGGAGAGACGGAGAGATGATAACCTTAGATACAGATAAAAGAGGCAGGAATCCTCTCCCCTTCCCAAGAAAGTTGCAATTGTAAATTTTGCCCTTTTTTTTTCAGGCAGCTCAGATTGGGGCTTTCCACCTTAGGCAGTGGCAGGGGGGAAAAAACAGAAAAAACAAATGTTTCTCTAAGACGGAGCTAAAAGGAGAGAGAGAGGGAGGGAGAGACAGAAAGAGACAGAAAGAGATACCTCGCATGGTGACAGATTGCATTTCAGGGAAAGCTGCAATCATCAATTTAGCCACACAGCAAGTTTAAGTGGGATTGAATCGGTTAGGATTAGCCCAGGTAAAAGCGCTGCTTTGGCAATGCTAATTATTGCCTGGGCAAGTGCAGAGTGCTTCGGATTTAATTTTCCTCTATCTATTTTGAAGCTTTTGTAAATTGGGGGAAAGAGAACCAGCCTCCTACAGACATAGTACACACAGAGACGCAGAAAGGAAATTATAGTGCCTTTGCCTTGCGAATGGAAGGTAAACAGCCTTCTTTTTCGACACTTCATTTTGCCTGTGTCTAAAAAGGCCTGTTTGTACAAGGCGCACCAAGCGATGATTGCTGCTCCTTGTACTATCTCCTTTTTCTCTCACCTGAGAGACCACATTTCTTGTTCAAACAAGCATTAGTAGCCTGCAAAAATAGGAAGGGGACAGACATGTTCAGCTGGAAGTCCTGGCTGGATAGCAAAAAGAAAGAACAGTAAAGCATTCCGTTTATTTGTTTCTTCATTTTTGACATTTATATAGCCACCCCTCTCACAATAAAGGGACTCTAGCTAGCTTGCAATAAAAACAATAATATCCAAATTTTAAAAACTACATTAAAAAAAGCATCAGCAATATTTTTTTATGGATCGTGAATTGGTGTTAAAAACACTGCAATCCTTTTGTCAACTTATTGTGGCCTTGAGATCTCCAGACCTGCTTACACCACTGTGTTTTAAGGGGCCTTTGGAAGGATGTCAAGGATGGAACCAATCTCACCTTGGTGAGGTGGTGGGAGGGGACAAAATGATGTTCCAAAAGGTGGGTTCCATGGCAGAAAAGGCCCACCTTTTGGGTCCCATCAGTTGAAGTTTTCTGTCAGCTTTACCCAGAAAGGCCAATCCACCAATCCAGAAAGAATCAAGCAGCTCAGGCAGGGACATTGTTATGCAGGAGAGAGGCTAGTACAATAGCAACAATCTCAACTGATCCTAAGACCTCAACTTAATGAATAGGATCCTACATCCAGCAACCTATGGAGGTGCACCCATAAAAAAACCTTAAGAGATTCTCAGATGACAATTTCCACACCACTGTCCTGAGATCTCAGGTCCCAAAATCCAGCTGAGATATTTCTGAGAGAGGAACATCCCTCTACACACACTTCTGGGCCCAGCCAGATTCCCAGAACAATATCATAACTGTGAGCTGTTCTCACTGGACTGGGAAGGGCTTCTTC